CACTTTTATGACAGATAATTAATAGTGTGTGATTGTGAAATAATAGTGTTTGTGTGTGTGTGTCAGAGGGACAGAGACAGAAACAGAGAGATAGTAAGTTCCAAATGCCATTTATACAATGTTGAACGGCTCTGCAAGAAGAAAATGATATTCATAAGTGTTTGCGTTTACTTTTAAGCATTTGGCAGAGACAAAGTGAATACCCGGTATACCCTGGGAATCTAACCCATGGCCTTGGCATTGCTAAAGCCATTCTCTGCTGTTTGAGCTACAGGAACGCTCAATAATGCCTGGTTCAGATTACACGATTTTTGCCCGATTTTGGCACGATCCGTTTGACGTAGGGTGTCGTGGGGATTCGTAAAGAACAACAGCTGTCGTATCATCTCGTATAGTGTGTCATAGTGGGCGACAACCTACTTCGTGTCTGCGATGCTTCAAGACATCACGAGAAAAAGACTAGCATGTTTAATTTTTTTAATTGTCGTCCACGACGGTTCCGTCACATGTATGAGGTTGACCAATAGGAACACAAGTTTTTCCGTATACAACTTTCAAAAAAGACAAAACGAAAGAGAGACGATGGTGCTAAAAGTAAAAAATATATTAGAAAACAATATTTTACATCAAGTTCTCTTTGGAGGATTGACAGCACATACTGTCCTCTTCGAACAATCCAGGAACGTGTCCATTGTCGGGTTTTCTTTCTTTTTTAACTTTTTTTCTGAACAAAGGACAGCCAATACAACACTCACCACTCCATCCATTGTTTGTTTACGTTAGTTTCCGGAAGTCACCCGCTACTAGTTTCGCCTTCTCGATGACATCGCACGCGCCGTTAAAGACGGCATGCGATGACTGGTCAGGAAGCAACGTGTAGTCTGACATGTGTCTTGTCCACGGCACGACAAGATTTTAGGAGTCAAAATCTCGTAATCTGACACAGTGACTATCGTAAAAGACAAAAAAAAAAAAGTGTAATCTGAACCAGGCATAACAGCGTTACAGAAAAGTGTGGGATAGATTATCTGGTCACTTTAAAAAACTGCAGTCTATAACTTTAGGCGCTCTAGCGGTTAACAAACAGAACTGCATGCTTCTTGCAGAAGAGTGGAAATGGATTCATGATGTAGGCTACTCGCTTATTATATACCCAAACCAGTTCAGCAGAAATCCCGCCCTGCTGTCGATTCTAAAGAGTTCATTGGTCATATCAACCCGATCACTTTATTTATCATTCATGTAAACACCTTGATCGGATTCATCAATCGTATTGATTTCATTCCGATTGTGTCCACGTAAACGTAGCTACTGTAACCTTAACCAATGAAATTAGCTGCAGGGCGGGATTTCCGCTGAACTGGTTTGGGTATGAGCTCGAACATCATGAATCCATTTCCCAAACCGTGTTTTTTTACTACTGGGGAAAAATCTAATCACACTTATGTTAGACCTTACGTGGTCCTTATTTTTAATGCTTTAAAACATCACACAGAAAGACAGTAACCAATTTGAATTAAACACAATCAATGTTAAAGGGTTAGTTCACCCAAAAATGAAAAAAAAAAGTCATTAATTACTCACCCCCATACTGTACCAACCCCGTAAGACCTTTGTTCGTCTTCGGAACACAAATGAAGATATTTTTGATTAAATTTGAGAGGTGGATCACTGCCACATAGGCTGCCTAAGGGATCGAAATTTGACGGCCCAAGTCATTGAAGAAAATGTTTAAATATTCCATGTGACAACAGTGGCTCAAGTATAAGTTTATCAAGCGGCAAGAATACTTTTTGTGCGAAAAAAACAAACAAAAATAACGACTTTATTCGACTATTACTTTTCTTCCTTGAAGGCCTGAAACGAGACTTCAAGAGATATCCACGACGCATACGTGAGAACTGAACTGAAGTAGTTGAAGGAGATCGCAATTCTCGCGCATGCGCCGTGGAAATCTCTTGAACTCTCGTCTTAGGCCCAGAGGAAGAAAAGGGGGTGAATAATTAATGACTGAGGCCTACAGCATGGGGGTGAGTAATTTATGACTCAATTTTCCTTTTTGGCTGAACTAACCCTTTAACTTTGCTTTCCATTGTGTGCAACAATGTTTGTCCATTATTCAGCTTTATCTTCTCCACGTCTTAAATTTCACTTTTTAGTCTTTCACTGTGCTGAAATGTGTTTTTCGATCCAAGTTAGTGACATAATATCAGGATAACATTACTTTCTTACTCTGAAGAGTGCTTCTGTTTTAGACATTTCATTTGTTTTAAGTTAGTTTTTAAGCCATGACGTTTCTACGTGACCACATTTTTTATTTACTCTTACTACACCCATTCATTTCAGTCCTTTGTGACTGTAAAGTCATTTATTTTTAGAAAACAGAAATGGTGTAATGGAAAAAAATATGAAAACATCCTCATGGCGGCAGGGATTGATATCAATTTTGCATATTGGAATAAGCTCTCATTGGTTCAAAGGGAGGCTACACACACTGCCAAATGAACTTTATTTTGTCCTCTCATATTTTCCCTTCTTTATGGAGCTGAAACATGTTGAAAGTCTCTGTAAAGTCATGAGTGTTTGATGAAAGTGAGCCTGAAATTAAAATTCTGCATGACAAATGCTAAGAATGTGGATCATTCACGGCTGGCCGTCGCAGCCTGGAAATACTGTTGTCGGGTTCACTCCAATCAACAGTTGAAAAAACAAATACTGGTGGGCTGAAGCAGCATGACAACTTTGCAAAAAATCTTTAAACCTAGAAAACTCCTCCCATAAACAGCTAGCATTACGTGATATTGAGTGTATTGAGTAATGGATTGCCCACCGCTTAACACCATAAATGACATACGGGTCACTGAAATCAAAACCTCGTTGTGTTACCATTAAGAATGGAAGAAGATTTTTTGGAAAAAGGATATTAGCAATAATGGAGATATAAAAGACAATGAGAAATCAGTTTGGGACAAATTTTTTTACCTTAAAATAATGTTTCCAAAATCACATCAGTGGTTCATCAAGTCATGGAGTGAAAAACAGGGTGAAAAACACTTCTGCCATAGCCTGACGGGGTCTGTATCGCTTTTACTGGCATTACAGAACTCCGGGTAGTAACCCGAGCACAAAAAGAACTACAAAATTCGACTGCTTTACGTCAAGCACTACAATAGTCATTATTCGTTCGTTTTTTTTTTTTCATTTCTGATATCGCAATACATCATAACTTTCATGAAATCATGTAACATACTCTACTTTGTCTGTAGACGTTGTTCATTCCGAAGCCGGTGCTGGATAAACAACGAGTGTGTGTGCGACGGTAGGCTAAATTATTTACGACAGCAGTAATGGACAATTTCATTTCCAACCAGTAGGGGGACCGCAGAGGAAAAGTTACATGGTGTTGCTTTAAATGGATCTTTCTCTTTTAGAAAAAGCCAATAGGCTTTAGGATTAGCTACTTCCTAGTTATTTGCAGATGCTATTGGGGGAGGAGCTTTCTTACTGTAGAGGGCATTTGATTGGACAAAAATCTGTGTAGTTCAACATGAGTCATGAATATTTATGATCTGTTTTTCCTTGTGTATATCTATTAAAAGTTAATTGTGTCAATGTTTAGGAGCACACTAGATGACCTCGAAGCCACAAAACTATTATTTTATTCTTTGAAACGTGGTTCTGATTTGTACTTGTTGGTCAAAACATTGCATTTTCTCTTGTAATTCATTCTAAACATCCTTTTATTTAGCCAGCACAGATTATATTGTGATGTCACTCTTATCTAGCACCATCTGTGTGTAATATCGAAGGCCAAAACATGAAATTGTGCTGGCAATATGTGCGAGTGTTTCGAGCAGCTGTGGAGGCAGGAAATTCACTATAGGTCATTGATGAACCATGTCGCAATCAAAGCAGGAGTCAGTTGGTAATGGTCAAATGTGTGTGTCCACAGGTCTTGGGAAAAATTAAGTGCTTTTTCCATGACAAGCCATTTATTGGGTAATTTGGGTAACTTCCTTTTATTACATAATGCATTTGCAAACAGAATGTGGTCATGTGTTTAATACTTTGCAATAACCTGTTAGGATCGACTGTCAAACAGCTAAAGAGTAGCATTGATTTTATACATATGCAGTTTCCTCACCGGACATATTTGTTTGCGACAAATCACAACAACAAATATATTTTTTATGTATATTCTTTTCCTTGTAAAAAGAGACCCCAAAACATTTGCACGTGGCCACATTTGGTGGAATCCATACTAAGTTTAATTTTAATGAGAGGAAATGGTATTCATTGCAGCTGCACTCATGGTTGTCTGGTTTAACATGATTCACATGTATTGTAAATCACATGTTTAGGTGGCCTCTGAGAAGACATTTTTGTTTTGTTCTTTCTTTAGAGACACAACACGAGTCCAATCTGTATTGCAACGGTCTGAGGTGTAACTTCAACGTAACTCATGGGGGCTTGGCGAATAACCACAGAAGACAAACTGCTTCTGCATTACACACATCAGACAATCACGTAGTTTGTTGCCCTTACTAGTAGACTAAAACAAAACAGGGGTGAGAGACCAAAGATGAGATAAGTGATGCAAGCCGCTTTTACTGTAGACAGCGTGAAGCTCAACAGATGTTTGAATTCCTATTGCATGCAGCAGAGAGATTGTAACAACTTGATTCCTGAGCTTGTTGACATTGGTTTGAGGAACAGTGTCCACTAAGAGAAGCAAGAGACTATTTATTTGGAGATTTCTACTCATTTATGAGGACATGAGGAACATTTAGACTGTGGGGAATCACTGTAAATCTACACAGGCGCTATTAGTTTGAGCTCACATGTGAACTGTGCTTTAAAATGACTACTGTCTTTGGAGACCTCCATTAGCTCATGTTTTAATTGGTGCGCTTTGAGTCACAGTTGTGGAATTATTCATATTTCAAAGTTCCATTCCTAAAATAAAATGCTAACTACATGTGTATTTTTTTTTCTTACAGAAACTGGTGTGCATATGTTGTGACCAAGACAGTGAGCTGTGTGGTAGAAGATGGAGTGGAGACTTACGTGAAGCCTGACTACCAGCCATGTTCATGGGGCATTCAGTGCGCCCGTGTTGTAGTGTAAGTATGTCCTTTTAGCACGTATAGCTTGTTTTGATTTCGTTTTGTGTGTGTGTGTGTGTTCTGTTCTCGTTTTGCCTGCCTGATTTAGGGGGTTAGTTTCCATGGTTCTTAAAGGGATAGTTCACCCCAAAATGAAAATTAGCCCATGATTTACTCACCCTCAAGTCATCCTAGGTGTACAGTATATGACATTCTTCTTTAGACGAATACAATCAGAGATATATTACAAAAAATATCCTCGCTCGTCCTGGCTTTATAATGGCAGTGAATGGCTGTATACTTTTTGAAGTCCATCAAAGTGCATCCATCCATGATAAAAGTCCTCCACACAACTCGTTGGGGTTAATAAAGGCCTTCTGAAGTGAAGCGATGTGTTTGTGTAAGAAAAATATCCATATTTAAAACTTTATCGACAAAAATAACTAGCTTCCGGCAGACGACCTACACAAGTCGACTTGCGGCAAAAGAGTAACACTTGACGATGTATGATGTAGGAGTAGTGTAAGTTTTGACACCTCTTGTGGTTCAAACAAACAGGGCTGGACAACAAACTCGACATTTCTCTATAAAAATGATCGTTTTAGACTTCTACTTTTAGACTTCAACACTCCACTGGTGTTTTGTTTTGCTCTATCCTCTGCTCTTCCGTATTCGTCATTACTTGTGTGACAAGTTCAAGGGTCACTCTTTCCCCGTAAATCGAGGCATACAGCCGTCTGCCGGAAGCTAGTTATTTTAGTCGATAAAGTTTTAAATATGGATATTTTTCTTGCATGAATGCTTCGCTTCACTTCAGAAGGACTTTATTCTCAGAGGCCTGTGGAGCATTTTATCATGGATGGATGCACTTTGAATCTACTTACTTAAATCTACTCTACACTTAACCATTATAAAGCTTGGAAAAGCCAGGACATTTTTTAATATACCTCCAATTGTATTCATCTGAAAGAAGACCTTAAAGTATACACCTAAGATGGCTTGAGGGTGAAATCATGGGGTAATTTTCATTTTTGGGTGAACTGTCCCTTTAATTAGTAAACACCTGTTCTGTTTCAGTTGATCATCCCCAGTATATTTAACCCTCTGTTCCCTTCTGAGAAAGTTATTTCTCCTGCAAACTCCTATGTGTTCTGTTGATGGATTAATAAATGTTGTTTTGATTCTACTCATTTGTTGTGATCTTTGTATACAACTACCGCGCCTGATAACTTTTACCCGTACTAGACTTTTTCCGTTTCTCCAGAATTCTTAATGTTTAGTTTTTAATAACTTAAATGATGAAATGATTATCGGTATATTCAGTATAGATTTACTGAACAGAAAGTGTTGTTTGTGTGCCTGTCAGAGCATCAAGCCCAACAGATGTCTTTTTCCAAACAATGAGTAATTTGCTCCATTTAATGTTGCTTCATAAAAGGCTTAGAGCTGGAAAATAGCTATTTAGCTATTTATTAGAACATGGTAGGTTTCTAGCAGGTACACCATGTGAAACTTGTGAAGTTTCAGTGGAAACAGCCTATTTTTTTATTTTTTGTCATGAGACAAAATAAGTTAGAATCAACCTTAACAGAATAAAGAGAAATTTACTGCATTTCAATAGAACTTTTGATCACGATTTTGAAGGCTGCTATTGGATCATTGGAGGTAAACGTCATTTTATGTAACTATGCATTAGTTTACAAAGAGCTTATAACCTACTAGCTTTGTTCTGCCTTAAGAACAATTGGTGCGATCAAATTAAGTACAGCTAGTACAGCTAGCAAGCTAGTAGTTACTAAGCCTCTAGTGTGGACGCTATGTTCCAATTTAAGTATGAACTTACTTTACAATCCTACCCTAAGGTTTACGCACACTATTTTTTATGTGTGCCAGAGACCCAAAAGTTGTGTGCCATTTTTCGTATGTTATTTAGCTTAATGCTAGTTACTTTACCGTATCACTATTGAGCCCGATCTCATGAAAGTTCGTATCTATAGCACGAATGTCATTTCTCGTGCCATATGCTACGCACTGAAAACACCCTGGGTAGTTTAGGGGGAAGGGGGGGGGGGAGTTCGTACTTATTATACAGCAAAAAGTGCGTATCATATGCACGCAAAAAAACATTTTTGGCGTATAAATGCAACGAGAAATGACAATCGAGGTATAGATACGCACTTTCATGAGACTGTGTTGCACTATAGCACATCCATGTTATCTATTTGTTGCTATCTATCTGTTGCACTGCAGTTTCTTGTCTGCCTGAGTGAATTGCGTTTGCAGCTACGTATAGCTTTGAAAAAACTCTACTTCCTATATTTTCTGCCGTTTATACTGCTTAATATAATTTAATCATCACAATATACCTGATATTATCTAATAATGTTTGTCACATTGATCTGAAATCGCTAGCTTTCATCTAAATCGCTATCGCTAGCACAATGCTCTAGCCATTCGCTTACCTGTTAACCTGCCATACGTGCTTCCCGTTCTCTCGCGTGCTCTTGCGTGCAACTGAGTTGAGTTGGATTAGTCGACAAACATGGTGAGTCATTGCCACTTGCACTGCCTGGCACATGTATACCATTCTCTGTCAGCGGTTAGGGTTACACTTGTGATAAATGCAGTAATTTCAGAACTGAAGACAAACACTCACTGAGAATTCTGTTGAAAGAGCCGATTCTATTACTCTGAACATAGAAGAAATAAAAAAATAGAGACACCAGCCACCGCCACATGTATGCCGGGAGCCAGAGCACCTGACATCAAAGCAAATTTAAAGGAGCTATATATAAGAAATATATTTCAAATAATCATATAATGGCCCTTATATGTCACTAGACATTAAGAAATCATGCACTCTAAAAAATGCTGGGTTGTTTTAACCCAATTTTGGGTCAAATATGGACAAACCCGAAATGTTGGGTTAAAAATGTAATGTAAAAATTTAACCCAACGGCTGGGTTAGTCCATATTTGACCCAAAGTTGGGTTAAAACAACCCAGCATTTTTTAGAGTGTGTTCATTTCAAATACTTATATCATTGACAACAGTAGTCCAGCCAGGATATTGTCATTTAAAAATGATGTTGATGTTGTCATGTTGTGTTTCGGTCTGATGCTCCAACCTCCCCCTCTCTACCACAAAGTCAGTAGTGTGGCAGCATTCGGGTTGCAGATACAAACTGCTGCAGATACAAACGTGTGCGATAAAAAAAAAATGTTGGATCCTGCAGCCTATCTGGCAACCTCGAGTCAGGGGGAAGGGGATTCACCGCTCTACATTCATTTGAAAGTGATTGCAGTACCAGTTTTGGCCACAATCTTACATACGGCTCCTTTAAAAGTGCTGGCTAATGCTAATCGCAAATGATCTAAAATTATTATTTGCGTCGGCACTACTGATGTTCGACTTCATCGTTCCTAGACCACTAAAATTAACGTTAAAGATGTGTGTGATCTCGCAAGTACGCTGTCTGCACAGTAATATGCTCTTGCCCCCTTCCTGGTCGGCAGAGTGATAAGATCCTCACTCAGTGGCTGGCTGAATAAGTGGTGTCAGCAGAATAATATAGGTTCATAGACAATTAGAAAACAAATTGGGACAGACACGACCTGTTGAAAAGAGATGGTATTCATCCCTCCTTGGGTCGTGCTGCTCTTCTCTCTAATAATATGGTATTTGTGTATAAGAGTTCAGATGCAAAAGCCTCTAAATGCCATTTGAAATTTTCTTCTTTAATGATGATTTTTATCAAACGTGTATATTTAAGTTCAGTAATTTCACTTAAATGGCAATGATAATTACCTATTAATTGTTATTTAAGTGAAATTACTGAACTTAAATATACAAGTTTGATAAAAATCATCATTAAAGAAGAAAATTTCAAATGGCATTTAGAGGCTTTTGCATCCACTCTTCATATATATATATATATATATATTTATATGTGCACTATTCCTTCTAGATCTGCTATACAGCCAAAACAAACTTATTTTCATGTTGCACTGTAAAACTGCTTTGAAACTTTATTGTGAAAAGCGCAATATAAATAAAGGTGACTTGACTTGACATGCACCTATCAGACTTCATATCAGTCAGAGGATTTAAAGTAAAAGCAAGTCTGTTTTTCTGGCCTTTATTTAGTGCACTTTAAATAAGTGGAACCATTATGTACTACATCAGCTAACTTTAGACTGGAAACAGATGTTGAAAGCGATCACATCATCATAACATTCATAGGCACTAGCATACAGTATATAACACTCCACATTTTACTGGAAATCTGAGTCATTAAAACATAAGAAATACTAAAAACATTGTGCTTACATAGTAAACCTAATGTCAACAAATGGAGAGATAAACAGAATGTGGTTTGAGGACACCAGGATTAGAAAGTTTGCGCAGTTGCGAGGTGGTTTCCAGTTGTTGGCAACGTGCTGAACTCCAGCTGGAAAAGCTTAATCCAACTCCTTTAAATTCAGTATACACACACACTAATATGTATGGAATGAGGTGGCATGTCATTCCAAACTCTACAACCAGTATGCCACAGGAATTAGTCTTAAAACCTACTGAAATACCACCACTTATTTTTGGACTCACTCTGTAGAGGGTGACCCTTTTTTCTCCTCTTTTTCTTCTCACGGGGGTCATGGAACAAACAGAGCGTGGAAACAAGAATTTAGTGGCGTAAGAACTATAAGCAAAAGTCCTGGGAAAAAAAGAAAATGCTATTCCATCTTTTAATGGTGCTGATGTTCGGGATCAAGGCTAAACGCAATGTTTTACTTGATATTTTTGTTTATTTGAATGACACTGTAAATTCAGACAACTGGTCAGAATTATGGCTCTGATGAGAATTCTCTATTAGAAATGTTTTTCAAAACCCCTCGCCATAATTATTACACGTCCACAAGTAGATGTATGGTTTCTGGATGATAAAATATACAAAAAAATCTCATAGCTTAAAGGAGTGATCCATGCCATATCTAAGGATACACACTGTTTCTACCATTGCTACCATTTCTACCCAGCCCTTCGTTGAACAACAGATTATACAGCGTTTATACAGCTGGCCAGCATATGTCTGTGCAGCAACTAGCTGAAATCACATGAATGTGCGGAGACATAATTTTGAAAGAGACATGGCATGTCTTACTCCATTCTTAGGCCAAAAATTGAATTCAATCCAGGCTGTTGGTTTCACTCGAACCAAAATGAAACTCATTTCTTGAGTAGAGAGCAAAAACTCATTTGTTGAGTAGAGAGTCTTACAACGCAACATCCCAGAAGGGATCAGTTTGATTATTGTAAAAGGTCTGTTTAATGTGGAATGTATTAAACAATATACAGAATGGCGACTTGTAAGGTAATCTGTGTACTATGCCTAGATAGTTTTTGTTGTTTTAGATTGTACTGATTGTATTATTTCTTTGTGGTTTGTATTAGCATATCATTGGTCTTATTTGTTTCTTTCTCTGTCCCATGTATTTCACAATTTAAACTAAACATTGCAAGTAAGGAAATACTGAGACATGGCTAAATTTGTCCAAACTAGAAAATGTCAAGCTTTTATTTATATGTTTTTTTTTATTTGTCTTACAGGTACAGGACCTACATGAGGCCCAGATACAAGGTGGCTTACAAAATGGTTACAGAAATGGAGTGGAAGTGCTGCCATGGATACAGTGGAGAAGACTGTAATGATGGACCAAACGGGGGATCTGATACTCAGATCTCAACAAGCAGACCTTGGCCTAGACCTTCACAACCAGGACAAACTGGAACTGGTACTGGTCATGGACAGGGTGGAGGGAATGGTAAGTCAATGTTTTCTCTAACAATAGGTGCATTTACAAATGGAGAATTAAAAGTCCAATGCAAATTAAAATGCTCCTTGCACACACCTCAATAAGAATAAAAATGCCCAAACAATTTGAAATTTTAATCGGTTTCGGAGGGGTTGGATAAACCTGTGCAATGACGTAGAAATGGCTTAAAATGCATGAAACGAGCTGATGTTGTTCAATTTAATAAATGACTGTCGTCTTAAGTCTAAAATTCTCTTTCCACTCATCGGTGAAGTGGTGCAGGAAAACGTCACACAAATGCTTTCTTCGGACTCTCATCTGTAAACACATCTGTGATTTTACTGCCTAAATAATAAGCATCATATCCCAGCAAACACATTTAGGTTCTGGGAACGTTCTGGGAATGTTAGTTTTTGGTTCCCAGAACGTTCCTAAAACTTTCCCTTAAGGTGAAGGGAATGTTCCCGGAACATTCTCCTTGCGTTATAAAAATGGAACCTAAAAATAACCTACATTGAACGTTCCTATAACGTTCTTGTTTGGTTCCCAAAAAAAGAACCTCATGGGACCATTTGGGAACGTTAGGGGAACGTTCTGTGTTTGTTGGTATACCACAAAGCTTCATTTGCTCATCGTATCTAGGGTGACCATATTTTGATTACCAAAAACCAGGACACTTGGCCTGGCAAACAGATGGGCCTACTCAAATGATACTCGAAGTTTACTCAAAGATACCTTATTAATTTCAATACATTTAAAGTAGGTTATGCCTCCTCTGTATGGATAGAAAATGGTTATATTGTTATATGAAAACAGGACATGTCCTGGGAAAACAGGAGAGTTGGTCAGTAGATACATATTAAGTCTGGTTTTTAAAACAAAGACAAGGAGGATGGTTAGTTTCGTGCCAACAGCGGGAAACTCTGTATATTCGTGCGGTGTGCGCATGTCAAAAGTCAAAAATGCCCCCCCCCCCCCTCACTCTCGCAGAATCAATCGCAAGCACACCTGATTCTAATTAATTATAGAAATTTAGATATAAAATTTAAAGCTAAAATTAAAGGCGGGTTTATGATACTAGGACATTTTGGCTTCACTTTTCAGGGCTTGTGTGGCACGACATGCACATCAACCCGGTCACTTTATCTAGAGTTCATTAGGCTTTCTGCAATAGTCTGTGTTACCGGTACACAATGTTTAGCCGCACACTGAGTACATCACTTGCACCGCCCCCACCGTCGTTTGATTTTTTTATAGTAATAAAAATAATTTAGTTCAGTTAGAGAACAGACACTACAGATAAAAACTGAACTGAACTCAATTCAGAGTGAGCCGATTGAGAGTCGCAGCTCTCAGATTTAATTTATCATGTGACGAGAGTGAGACGAGCTGGATGGGGATTGGTTTCAAAGCAAAATGTAAAAAGGCCTATTTGACAATATTTTGAATTAAAACCAATGCTAACTGGGAACCTTCAAACATTAATGAGGCAATCTGTAAACTTTGCCTGATGAAGGTGGCAGCATCCGGAGTTAAAACTTTTAATTTAGTACCACAAGAATGAAGCTGCTATGCTTATTCGTTTAATTAATAAAAGTTCTATGTTTTAAGTTTGTCATTGTACTGTTTTTTTTCGGTTTTGTTTTTCATTAATAACAATGAACCCACCATTCAAGCAATTGCCATTGATTCAAAAGCTGACATACAATTTGAATGAAACAAAAAGTATGTAAATGTAATTTCAGTCATGTAAACGTGGCTAGACTCTGGCCATATAGATGTTCTTGTTACTGTACTTCTGTATCTGCATCTTATGCATCTTTGAAACACTTGATAACATCTAAATATAACTGAGGCTTCATGGAAATAAAACATTGGAGCAGAGAAAAACTTTTAGAGTAATGTTTTCATTGGCAAAGTTTGACAGAACTGTGAATTCTGGGTCTATCAAACCACCTGTAATATTTAACTACTTGCTGTCTAAAAATAAGTATTGTGTTTGATCTTTGCCCAGGGAGAGGTGACAATGACAAGATGAAACAACTGGAGGACAAAATCCAGAGGTTGACCAAAGACCTAAATGACCTGCAGTCAACTCTGCGTGGGATGAACGAGAAATTCCAGGAGGAAATGCGCAAACCCGGTTTTAATAGTGGCAAAACACCAGCTGATGCAGCCCAGCCTGAAATGAAAGAGACCATCCATAACATTCAGACCAAGCTTGATCAGTTGGATAACCGTACTCAAGCTCATGACAAGACTCTAGTCAGCATCAATAACCACCTTGTGAATGGGAAGGGTGGAAGCAATGATCTAGACATTGGGGGAGAAGGAGGAAACAACTTCAACACTTTGAAGGAGGAAATCCTCAGACAGCTTGAACGTCGAGTGACGCTTTCTTGTTCTGCCTGTCAGTCTGGAGTGGAAGACCTAAGACGGCAACAGCAACAAGATCGGGAGAGGATCTCGGCTCTGGAAAAGCAAATTAATGCCATGGACCAGCGTCACCGCCAGACTCTTGATGGTTTGCGCCGAGACTTCAGCCGGTCGCAAGGCTGCTGTGACGCTGTGACGGACATCAGAGGACGACTAAATGACATGGACAGGAAGATAAGCTCCACATTGGAAGCCTATGACAAGCTTAATAATCGTGTGAACGGGGAACAAGGAGGAACCGGAGGAGGTGGAAGTTTTGGTGGAGAAATAGGTGGACCAGGACAAGGTCCTAAAATGCAAGAAGACCTGGAGAGATGGCTCAACAACACTGTTCAGAGGGCAGAGGAAAACTGTGCTTATATGGAGACTAACATACGAGACTCGTTCCAGCAGGAACTCAGAAGTCTTCGCAATGAATTCAATAATCGTATTCTAAACCAGGACGACAGAATCAATGACATGGAGGTTGATATAGGAAACGTTAAAGAAACTGTGTTTGATCTTGATAAACGCCTGTCTCGGCTCGAGAATACAACATTGTTTATAGACAGGAGGTTAAGCGAATGCTCTGGGTGCTCAGGCACAAGTTCTGGTCCAAGTCCGGGCAGTAGCGGTAGTCCGAGCTCTGGCGACACTGTGAAGTCTTTGGAGTGGAGAGTCGTTGCAAATGAAGATGAGATCAAGAGGTTTGACACCCGACTCAAGGATCTCTCTGTGTCCGGTGACTCTCTTGAGGATAAGGTCATCAACCTCAGCCATGACGTTCGCAAGATCAAAGCTCTAACTGGAGACAATGGGGAACACTTCAACAGGATTGTTATGGAGATTGAGAACTGTGACGTGTGCAGCACAGTGGAAGATGATCTGAGGAAACTCAAGAACATCACAAGCCATGCCATGGACAGATGGCAGAAGGAAATGAACTACATCAAAGGGCAATTTGACTCTGGTCAGGCGGGTTGTGTGGACGTGTGTTCTGGTTTACAGGACGAGATGGATCAGTTGAGAGAGGAGGTGCAGAAATGCAGTGGTCAATGCAAGATCACCCTGAATACTCCTACTGGAACGGAATCAGAAACAGGTCATCTGGATGACCCACAAAAACCACTGGATGGACACAGTGTCATCAGCAGTAATACCGGTGACCTCACGTCAATCCAGGGAGAACTGTCTGGGGTCATCTTAACCTTCAGCTCCATCAATGACACACTAAAAGGTCTAGAGCATGTGGTCCAGAAACATGACAGCGTTATCACCGACCTTGGGAACACCAAAGACAAAATCTTTTCTGAAATCGACAAGATCCAGCAGGAAATGACCGAGCATATAGAAGATAGTAGGGTACGCTTTGATAACATCGATCAGGATGTACGCCGCTTTGGGAACAACTTTGTGGTTGAGATGGGTGACTGCAAGAGGACTGGTGATGGTTTGGATAAGAGGCTCTCTAAACTCGAAGTGGTTTGTGGCCGGTTTGACTCTGTCTCCGACCATATCCAGAAGATCAAAGAAGGCCTGAACAAACATGTGTCTAGCCTGTGGAACTGTGTCAATGGCCTAAATAACACCGTGATTTCACACAGCGGGTTCATTGAGATCCTCCAGAACACACATCTGGATGATATCCACGGCAAGATTAAGAGACTCAATTCCTCAATGGTCCATGTGCTCAAGGAGTTCCAGAGCTTTACTGAGAATGACTTAACAGGTCAGACTTTTTTTTATTTATTTGCTATCATCTTAAAAGTCATGTCAAGATTAATTACAATTTGACAGCATCTTTGAATATATTCTAAATTTGTGCATATGTGCATTATTCAGAATTGAACTGAGAATGGATTCTAGTTCATTTTACGCAGAATGCATTTTACTTTCCTTACTTCCAATTCAACTTCCTGTAGCCAATTCAATTCAAATTCACTCTCATGATTTGAAAGTGACCAAATTCCTGAGTCATGCACAACCCTGATGGATATGAAAAGAACAAAAAAACTCTTTAAATAAATTCACTTCTGATTATAGGTTTACCCGGACCACCAGGTCCTCAAGGAGAAAGAGGGTTCCCTGGTCCACAGGGGCCTCCAGGTAATGAAGGACCACCAGGTGTTCAGGGATTTCCAGGGCCAAGAGGACCTCCTGGTGAGACATCTTTTTTTGTCATGTGGATAATAACCTTTGAAGAAAAGACTGTCATCATTACTTAATTTTACGTTACTGTACTTCATTTGGAGGTCGGCTGTATACTTATCTTTTATGAGTTTTTCTTAAAGCTACACTGTGTGATTTTTACCCCCGTCTAGTGGTGAAAACGTATATCCAGTGAACAGTGAATATTAGTTTCTGTTCCTCTCAATTCCTATTTCGTTTTAACTCCTACGGTGGCCAATGTAGTCCAAGATTAGCATGGCTTCCAGTTCGACCTCGTCCATGCGTGTTAACTCAAACGTAAACGCGAAAGGCAAAGCTTGAATTAACGGGTATGTCCCTCTTTGGCTAATGTACTTTCAAGATGGAGGGGCAACATGGCGACCGACGTTAGAACCCCTTACCCGTATGTATTTTCAATGGCATATTATACACTCACGAGAATACTTTATTACTTGAACGAAGTAAATATATACATTAATGAACACATGAAAAAAACTAAGTGTTTATAGGTTAAAAAAAAATTAAAAGAGTTACACAGTGTAGCTTTAAATGACAAATTTTTATATCTGGTCTCCTTTTGTGTTACATTAATTAAAATAACATTGGAATGACATAAGGATGATTCATTTCAAAATGACATGATTTTGAATTTTTGTCATGTTATATGACACTTGCATGTGACCCATTTTGCCTTCTCCTACTTTAGGTCTCAGAGGAGAGCGAGGTATGTATTCAAATTTCCTTTAATTTTTTAGCAGCCATATCTTAGTCAAGCACTGAGGTTATTTTGATGTGTGCTAATCATTGTCTGGAATGAAAGCAAGAATTCACTGAGATATGTCTAAAGGGTTTGTTTTTATGAGACTCAGCAATTTATTCTTTCAGTCTTGACTGTTGCAGCATTTGTTCAGTTGTTATTGCCAGCACTGGGTCAGTAGTTGAGCCAAAGGTCAGCAGCTGATCACTAAAACTGGTTGTGTAAAAATAGAGTTGTTTTCTTCATTTCAGGTATGGCCGGTGCAGATCCCAACATACCACGTCTTTCCTTCTCAGCAGCTCTCACAAAGCCCATGGTTACATCTGGAACGATCATTTTTGATAAGATCTTTGTAAATGAAGGAGACTTTTATAATCCAAGAACAGGTAATCTTGGCAGTCTATTTGCAGTTACACCTTTGCATGCATCAAAAATAATGTAAATCTTTCTCTTAAATTCAGGTATCTTTACTGCACCACTGGATGGACGCTACTTCTTTAGTGCTATTCTGACGGGCCACAAAAATGAAAAGATCGAAGCTGTGCTGTCCAGGTCTAACTATGGCATGGCTCGGGTAGACTCGGCGGGTTACCAGCCGGAAGGGTTGGAAAACAAACCAATGGCCGAAGCCAAACCAACACCGGGTTCTCTGGCTGTCTTTAACATCATCCTTCCCCTTCAGCGAGAGGACACAGTCTGCATAGACCTGGTCATGGGCAAACTAGCCCATTCAGTGGAGCCTCTAACTATCTTCAGTGGCATGCTTCTATATGAAGATGTGTAAGGGTCTTTTAACTGATTAGCACTGAGACTAATCAGACTCAAAGTACCAGCAAAACGACGGGGCTAGAAAGAGACACTCTAAATGACGTTAATCCGCCTGGGATGGTGATCCATTGATTTTCCTTCGGTATTGTTTCCAATATTGTAAGACCTCCTGTGAACTCCTTGAACAGAGAATATAGTTTTTAAATGGAGGAACTGTTGCCCTTGATATGTAATCCTAACCCGCATTTTTGGAGAAGTGTTGTAACAAATACTACTGCAGGTTTGTGCGACCGATGTTGACGATGTTCTTATTGAGATATTTCAAAGTTATATGAATCACAGACATGAGTTAATTTCTCATGCACCGAAGATGACCGTGAGGTCTGTTCGACTTCCTATGTATTCAACTGCACGGTAAATACTCTGCCAAAGAGCTTGACTCACAGTCAGGGTTAAAGGTTAGGCTGATGGGTGTGGAATTCGGAAGATTTGATGAAAGGAATTCATATTTTTGCTGTGAATGTTTAAATTCTGCTTAGAGTCAAGGGATGATTCTTAAATCTAAAGTACGTGACTTATTTCTTTTTTGCTTCATTATAAGTGCCAAGTTTTCCAGGAATAACTTCCGGCTTTTTCCAAAGATGCTTTTACTTAATGAATTGGTGGTTGGTAGTTAATGATTTCAGGAAACATTCAACCTGAGTGACAATCCATACAAACTCTCCAAGTGCCTCTGGAAAATTGCAAAGATGAATGCAATGAAATCTTCATAACTCAGGCACACATTCTTCAATGGTTTCTAATTTTGTACATGCACCGTTCCGCATCTCGTGATCCCGTTGAAGCATTTACAAAAACATCAGTTCTACTGGAGTGGTGGACCGTTGTATTTTGCTCCATATTCATATTCCAATCTCACAGCCTGAGCTTTCAATGGAGATTATTATCAAACAGAGTCTGTCCTTAATGTGGTTCAACAAAGTGCCTTTGAAGAAAAACAACACTGAGGATTCAGAGGGTGTCCTTCATCAACCGAATCTGTCTGTGTGGTCTCGCTTGAATGTTTAGTGTTCGACAGCCCAAAGAATTTTGAACTACGCGGCTTTTGCTTTTTCTTGTTTGAAACATGCTTGTGCAATTTTACAGATCGTTGGGAGGAAAGATCTCTGTGGAACGCTATGGTCAAGAATGTTGGAAATTAAGGCTGCTATCTTTTATGTGCTATGTTTCATGTATTATTTTTAGTTATAAAAAGATCCCCCAGCTCATAAAGTGGACGTTACGGCAGCAACGTTAGCATTAAAACATGTAAAAGAGACCAGATCTAAAAAATATATATAGTTCCCTCTCATGGTTTAACCTGTTACCTTGAATGTGTACATTGGCAACACGTGTGTTTCAAATAAAGATATTTAATTTTACACATATTAATCTCTGCTGAGCTTAGTATTACAGGGTTCTGTTGGGTATATCGGATTACTGGAAGTCATACCATTTAATTTTGTGCAAAACACTAAGCAAACTACTGTTCATTGTCTCAAACACAATGGAAAGCATTCTGGTACTCAAGAAGAACTGTGATTCTGTTGAATAGAATTCCAGTCAATGATTGATGGTGCACGTTTTGTCACTGTCTATGACTTTTTTTTCTCTATTCAACATAGAAAATATCAATACTGGAGTTGCTGGAGCATTTGTCAAAACAAAATTTGATTGAAAACATGTTCTCAAATAGAAAACACCCACTGTTTCTAAAAAACTTTTTTTTTTTTCTGAAGCATGTGCACAGAAACGGTGTGATTAAGGAGAGGAGTGCACACAATGCATTTCATTTTCCACAACGCAAGCCAGAGAAGTCATTTGGAGATTGGCTTGCGATTTTATGGAAAGAAAAACATTTCTAGGTGTCCATCCATAGTCATACTGGGTTGTAGTTTACAATGAATAATGCCTTGTGCTGGTAAGTGAATCTCATGCCCTCTCTCTGATATGTGCCACCATGTGGAGTTTTCATGTTTTTCCATTTCTTCATAATATTGCATTTCTGTATTGCTTTTAATTCTAATTCCTCTGTCAACATTCACAACCCATTTTACTTCTGTAATGTAACATTTCCAAATGAAGCTGAATTCAACAAGTAAATGTAGGATGAAACATGATTTTATCCATCAGAAATTGAATCATCCGAAGTACAGAATGGAGACTATGTGAATATGCGATGGATTGTGGATGAAATGAATTGGCATGCACATTAGAGGCTTTTTGACTAAAGCTTAACGTTTTCACCCCTGAGACCATCTCGACATATCCAAATGGTATTACTTTTTTTCTCTTTTTTAACAGATCTATAGTATTTTACTGAACTAACTATTGTCAACATTTTAGAAATGATGCATAACTTTCAACAACTATTATAGCCTATTGTTATTTGGCTATTGATTATTTGGTCACACTTTAGATTAGGGTCAAATGGGCTATATGTTTTCCTAAGTAACTTTCAGACATATACTGTCAGACAGGGTGTCATTATTGCACATTGGGTGTGGTGAAAGAATCCATGTAGTGCTGGCCAGCTGTGTCTAAATGGGATTGGATGGGAAAATGTCACGTATCCTGTTTGTCTTTCACCTTTGTGCTCTTGTATTCTGCTGTCTTCCTCCTCCTCTTGTTCTCTGCATACAGTGCAAACACACAGGCCTGTGCTCCCTAGTGCTGTAGAGAATAGAGATGCTTGCCAACTCTTCAGTATCAATCAGGGAACAATATCACATAACTCATAAGAATTATCAAAGCACTGCTGAACTCACTAATTCACTCTTCAATACAGAATTAAGTCAATTAAGTCAATGCTTAATTGAAATTAAGGTCACCTGGTTCAATAAAAAAGTCTACCAAGGCTGCATTTATTTGATCAAAAATTAGGTAAAAACAGTCATATTTTGAAATATATTTTTGAGTTGACTTTGATACTGATTTGGTACTCCGTTATTATCAATTATAACTGGAACTCAATTATTTATAATGGTTCTTATTATCAATGTAACTTATTTAAACTTAATTATCAAAAAAAAAATAACTCTTAGACTAATAGAAATTTCAAAAGAACTGCATTTATTTGAAATAGAAATCTTGTTAAATTATGAATCTTTGCTGTTACCTTTGATACATTTTATGTATTCATTTTTTTAATAAAAGTATTACTTACAAAAACAAACGTTTAACTTAAATATTAAGCAGCACAATTTTTTTAACGTTGATCCAAAATAAGAAATGTTTCTTGAGCATCAAATCATCATATTAGACTGATTTCTGAAGGATAATGTGACACTAAAAACTGCCGTAATTATGCTAAAAATTCAGATTTGCCATCACAGATATACATTACTATTTGAAATGTATTTAAATTATAATAATTTTTCACAATATTGATAAATAGATAAACAAAGGCTTGGTGAGCATAACAGACTCCTGTCAAAAATATATGTATAAAGAAATTCAGAATTATTACAACCTTTTGACTGGTAATGTACAAGGAAAGCTTCAGTGATCCTTATGGTAATTTTTTACATTTTCACATTTTTTAATTTTTCCATCTGAAAGCATCAATGAAGAGTTGTAAAACAAGTTTAAACCTTTAATTTAATCGTGCTAATACAGAGGTATCAGTAGAATATCCCATCTTTACTTAATCTTTTCCTTTGCATTTACATTAGTCTTTTCTATGTGAAGCAACACTATTCAGTCTATCAATGACTAGTGTAAAACTACTTGTTAAGTTTCAGCAGAGCTGGCTTCATATCTGTACTACATTCCAGCTGTGCACCTCTCCGCCATGTTCAGTGTAAAATTCCATCATATCCATGGACACCGCATTTTTTGCCTGCAATCTGGCAGCCAAATGTGAGAGCATCCTGTAGGCTGCCCCCTGCAGAACACATAACCAAACCGGCTTGAACTGAGTTACACAACTTACAAAAACCCATTAAGTGTTTGTGTTTCAGAACCAGACTTGCATTCATACCATTTGAAAGGGAATATATCACAGAAGCATTGAACGTATCCCCTGCTCCAAGTGTGTCCACGAGCTTCTCAGGTGGGAATGCATCTGAATGAATGACCACCCCATCGGGACCAATGGCATCAGCTCCCTTTTCCGCCCAGGCACAAATGAGGGTAGCTCTAGACACACAACCAAACTCACGTAAACACATGCGATGGCTAATATTTGAAAAGATCATACCCTTTAGCAGTTGTTATGATTTTTCAGAGTCAGTCAGCAGTTTTTAGAACACTATTGACATCTAGTGGTCGTTTTACTCACCCCTTCCTCAGACGACCGCTGAAACCCTTCAATGCAGCAGAGGCCGAGTTAAACCCGAAGTGCTGGGCCACGTCCTTACTTACAAAGACCTGAGTGAAAGTGGTCACAAATAAACAGGTTGTGTGTTCAAGCATGTCTCAAAGCTTATCAGCAAGCCTGCAAAAAATCAGCACTCAGATTTCCAGTGAATTTAAATGCACTTCTCCTTTAACTAGTGCTTCTCTTGTGTATTAAATATTTTGTCAAATATATATATATATATATATATATATATATATATATATTAGGGATGCACCTATATGACAATTTTGGCCGATAAATGTAAATTAAAATTTTTAGACAATTTTTGAGAGCCTGATTATAAAAAAGTCTCCTCATTAAAAGTAAAGATACAAACACAATTATGATGTTCTTATTTTAATATTGTGTAGCCGATATGACAGACTTGCGCTGCACATTTTGCACTTTAACTGGATTTTCCTTTTTTAAAGTGATTTCAATCATATTTCAAGCAATTTAAAGTGCCAGAGCTGAAGGAAATAATACATTAGTTATCAGCTTTTAGATATCGGCTAAATGTTCTTGTTGGGCCGATAACGATAACATTAAAAATTATTATTTATCGGCCGATACCGATAATGTGGCCAATATATCGTGCATCCCTAATATATGAAGAGTTCAGATGCAAAAGCCTCTAAGTGCCATTTGAAATTTTCTTCTAGAATGATAATTTTTATCAAACTTGTATATTTAAGTTCAGTGATTGCACTTAAATGGCAATGATAATTACCTATTAATTGTTATTTAAGTGAAATTACTGAACTTAAATATACAAGTTTGATAAAAATCATCATTAAAGAAGAAAATTTCAAATGGCATTTAGAGGCTTTTGCATCTGAACTCTTCATATATATATATATATATATATATATATATATATATATTGACAGCTCCCAGTAACAGTGCAGTATCTTCAGCTCATGTCATTTTTATGTCATTATATACACATAACATTTAAAAGTTAGGGTCAGTAAGATTTTATTTGATTAAAGATACAGTAAAAATAGTAATACTGTGAAATATCATTACAATTTAAAACTGTGAATATTACATTTATTCCTTAAAAAAAGGTAACGCTTTTCTAAAAAAAGGTAAAACATTTCTTATTATTATCAATATTGAAAACAGTTGTGATGCTTAATATTTTTGTGGAAAATGAGATGCATTATTTTATGGATTCTTTGAATAGAAAGTTCACAAGAACATCATATATTTCAAATGGAAATCTTTAAAAAAAAAATGTATTAATACTTTTGATGAATTTAATGCATCCTTGCTGAAAAATAATTGTACTGATTTAAATGGTAATGGTAACTGATTTAAATGTGTGTGTGTGTGTGTGTGTATAGGCTACACTGAACAAAATTATAAACGCAACTCTTTTGTTTTTGCCCCCATATTTCATGAGCTGAACTCTATGTACAAAAAAAGGCCTATTTCTCTCAAATATTGTTCACAAATCTGTCTAAATCTGTGTGAGTGAGCACTTCTCCTTTGCAGAGATAATCCATCCACTTCACTTGGCATATCAAGATGCTGATTAGACCGCATGATTATTGCACGGGTGTGCCTTAGGCTGGCTACAATAAAAGGCCACTCTAAAATGTGCAGTTTTACTGTATTGGAGACAGTCCCCAATACAGAAAAAAATAATTTTGTAGATTGTGGCCTGTGGAATGATGGTCCACTCCTCATCAATGGCTTTGCAAAGTTGCTGGATATTGGCAAGACCTGGAACAACTGTCGTATACGATGGCATTTTGAATGCAAAGAGATACCGTGACGAGATTCTGAGGCCCATTGTTGTGCCATTCATCCACCACCTTTACCTCATGTTGTAGCATGATAATGCACCACCCCATGTTGCAAAGATCCATACACAATTGTGTTTTAATTCGGTCAGGTTTGAAGTCTAACACATGTAGTGAAATCATACCAAATCACCAAGAGGAAAAAGCTGGTAGAGGGGTTCCCTGGTCTTTTCGATTTCCACAGAGATGGTTATTCTGTTCTTCTCTTCCTGTTTGCTGTTATACTCTCTCACCATCTCAATCATCTTCACTTGTTCGTCAGCATTACGGCCCTGAAAACGCATTCATAAAACAATCAGCTCTCTACTTGTGAAATAATGTGTCTCTTAAACACAGATCGGAAGGAACTAAATAGAGTGACTAGTGTGAACTCGGGCTGTTATGTTACTATGTAGCAAGTCAAAGATATTTGGCAGAAACTCTCACCTCCCAGTGGACCCACTTGAACTGGCTCAGGTCCACCTTTGAAAAGTCTTCTACAGAAACATCTGGCAAGTTTCTGATTAAACAGAGAATATCCGATAAAGACTACAACAATCAGTATTCAAATAACGATTAGTAAAGAATAAGTAATGACTGCATTTTGTGTACATGTTAGGTCACTATTACTATTGATTATTGTGACATGATCTGCTGTAATTGTATAATACAAAATGTTTACGGTCACAAACTGAATCAGTGATGGTCTCTATAATTGGAAAACCCCTAGCTTATTCCATTAGACCGGATCCATGTCAGTTTGTATACAGTACAACATTTGATAACAGTCATCAGCACAGACAAATAGTCAGCTTTGGGCTGTTATTATAAGATAATTATTATTATAAACCAAAGTCTGTCTCTCAGCATAGAAGGAAAAGGTTTGGAAAGTTCTCAGAAGAGGTTTTAGAGACAAGAAATATTACTCAAGGCCAAGATTAGAATAAATGTTGTTTTATATATTACTTCGCTACAAACAAAGCAAATACAAGTAAATGATAATGTTCAGTCAACCAGTCTTAACTGCAAATATAAACCTCACCCTTGACCTAAAGTGGAGAGGTTTTGTATTATCTGCAGGGGTTCATTTTGTGATAATGAACGGATGATTGAACATTATCTCACTTATTACATGGCTACTCATCAAATAAATACAAAAATAGACATATTGATTATGTCTATATTATTATGTGGCGTGACACTACTACAGCTATGTAACTGCCAGGGACATTGGCCAGTTATATAGTTTAGTGGTCACTATACACAAATATTTGTCCATGATATATTGAAACTGATCAATCAGAATCAAGTGTTTCAGAGAGCCGTGGAATAAGTTAGCTAGTTAGTAAGCTTTGACATTGTGTGCTGTTGTGTGTTGTTTAAAACAAATGATTAAAATAATTGGACAAAATGGAAATGTAATACGAAAATAAATTAATGACAATAACAGATCCCATATCCCTCAATAACAAAGCACTCAAATTAATGCATGCAATGTCGAATTGTCATGATTTTTTAAAAGCATCTACTTTAAAACTAAGGGTACGTTTACACGACAACGATATACTAAAAACGGAAAAAGTTTTCCTTTGCGCTTTTCTCGTACTGACGACAACGTCAAAACGATCCCTGTTCACGCGGATCCGCGAAAACGATTAAAAAAACCCTGCTGTATTATTCATGCCAGGCCAGTAGTTGGCGATGTCACTTTGTAAAGAAACACAAAGCTCCACTATACTAAACACGTAATACACGTTTTTACCTGTCTTTAATGGAATTAAAGGTGCAATGTGTAAAAATTTAGTATCTACTTTGTATTAACAGAAATGCAATATGACATCCATAACTATGTATTCAGTGGTGTTTTAAAGAATTTACTTAATAAACAGTAGTGTTTTTATTACATATCTCCATAACCGCGGGAATCCCCTTCTATGAAGGTCGCCATATTGTGACGTCATCTTTCTACCGTAGCCGAACGCGAACAAACAGCGCTACTGAGCGCGTTTCGTCACTACCTTGAAAGAGAAACAGCAGAAAGCTAGAAGCCATAAACAACGTGAGTAGTGAGGTTTCCCTTGCCAGTGGTGTAAAATATGTAGTTTGATTGTTTCATGTAACTTAGTTCTTTTCCATCGCTGTGTTATGGTTTTGCTATGTGGGGATAAATGTGCTGGTTACATTCGTGACACAGCTGATTAGTACTCTTGTCATTGACCGTAAAACAGTATGTTACAGGAATCACCAACCTGTCGATCACGGTCGACAAGTCGATCTTGGAAGCATTTTAAGTCGATCACGATGAGTTTTCAAAATCAGACAAAAAGGCTATTGTGTGTAGTAAATGATGTCTATGGGATGCGGAGGCGTGTGCGCTGCATGTTACAATCATGTAATTTTTGACGTGCGCACGTTTGGGCTCATGTGAACGCATCGAGTTTAAACAAGGATTTACGCTTTAACCAGCTCAGCCACAGTAACAGCTCATTTTAGCCAGCTATTTTTTTTACTACCCAGTGAGAAAAAATATATAGTTGCATAGTTTCATGTGATTCTTCTCCCTCGCTGTAATATGGGTTTGGGATGTGGGGAGAAATGTGCTGGTTACGTTTCTGAGACAATCAGCTAATACTATTATTATTTTATATATATATTAAGACCCTTGATCCTCACCTGACTATGGCTTTGTAAACTTTATCCATGATGTGGTTTATAATGGACTGTGGTACAGAAACAGTGACAATGTTACACACTCTTGGCTTACTCTGGCTATTCTCTTCTGTCTCAGACGACGATACGTTTGTCCCGTTTTAGCCACCGTTGCTTCTTCGAAAGGGGGGGGGGGGTGAGCAGTGGGCTGAGCCCTTAGTGCAACTCGCAACCGAACCACTAGATGTCGCTAAAAAATACACACTGCACCTTTAACTCTTTTTTTTAAGTTGCCAGCCACCGTCAGTATTTTTGGTAATTTTTACAAAAGTTTCATGGCCCCCAGAATATTTTGTTGTATGAATATCTGAACATGCAATTTATTAAAAAAGAAGAGAGCCTTTGATTTAAAAAAAAAAAAAAAAAAAAACATCCACAACAACAGTTTTATCCTAGCTTTGTGCAGTTTTTCATGCAACACTTGAATATGGGTAAGTTTAATAAAAGAAGCAAAAAGAAAATCATGTTTTTGTCAAGGATTCCGAACGATTGAGCTTAACAACACACCCAAAGCTTTACAGTCCTGTAGCTCGTCCTGGGTGGACATTTCATTTTAGAAAGTTTTGATTTGCTGTTTAATGTTGATATGATATCGCTTGTTTCTGCATCTTCCACTTGTTTTTATCAGGAGATTCAATACTCTTTTAGAAGATGAGTAATAGCGAAAATACCGAAAATACAGAAAACTGGAAAATCCCAACAATGGCAGGGAAGCTTTCTTTCACAAATGACGGAAATTTCCTTCTATGGCGGGGAAATAGTTAATACAGTAAGGTTAACTTTGAAACCTTTTTTTCAAATGTTTGCGTTTTCAGGGCCCTTGAACACCGTTGTCGTGTACATGAATGGCCAAAAATGGATAAAAAGTTTTGTTTTTAGTTAAAAATGGTGTCGTGTAAACGGACCCTAAATTACTGTCAATTACGGCAGTGCCACTTAATAAAGACTTTCTCAGATTATGTTTGAGAATGGGATAAGATAATTTAGGAACCCTCTAACTTATGTTATGATTATTTTGACTTTGGATGATACTCTTACGTGTCTGAGAGCACGACAGTGCGAGAGCCATTGGTGGCACACACCACACAACAGGCACACGGGGTCTCACCCCACTGCTGCCAAGCCACACCAGATATGTCCACCCCACGCCGTGCAAAATCCCCCACGATGAAACTAGTACAGCAAACACAGAGGTATTGCAGTGACCCATATGCACTACAGACAGATTTGAGCAGGAAACATTTAGCAGGGTCAGCAATGCTTGCCAAACTGATCTTCAAACCATGCACCTTCAGTGGACCTTTTAATAGGGAAAAAGCGATAGTGTATTTTCACTTTTTTTTTTTTTTTTTTTTTGATGTGTCAGGAATGTTTCAGCTGTCCTGTGAGGAAAGAGTTTTCGTAATACTTACGCATACTCTCACACACAAACCTGTTCATATGCAGAATTGTACGGCTTCCTGTCGTCACGCTGCTGATTACTACAGAGGCTGGAAAGGAGCATTCAGCATGCTCCAGAAGAAGAGAGATGTCAATCTTGTACATTTGAAAATCATTCAAGATGAAGCTAGAAGAACAAATTAGCATGGAAAGGTATGCATACAGAACGTATGTGTGCAGATAATGTAAACTGAGAAAAGAAGTACTTTCAGGAAGATGTGTGAGCGATATATTTCTGCTTATATAAAACTTGCAGGAGTAAGAAAGCATACAAATATCAGTAGTAAGGACGTTACAACAGGGCTAAAGGCGCACCGGGGTAAAAGACGCAATAATTTGATCTAATATTTGATGTTTTTTACATTGTTGTAGATTCATGAAGCAAATGAGAATCAATAAAATTATTGAATTGTACGTTTTTCAGTTTTGATCAAGGTTATTAAAGCAAAGTTTTTCAGTAACTAAAAATGGACAATTAAAGTGCATCTGTCTTACACGTTTGGGTTAACACGCTCCAGTGGAGAGATATCCAGATGTTTATTCGCCTCTGCCATAACGACCTATCGGTTTTCATTAAACCGAGAAAAATGGAATTTTGTTTTATTTACGATCACTGAGAAATGTTTTATTATTTAAAATGCAAAAAAAAAAAAAAAATTATTATTTTCAAGGTGAAAAGGATTCATTTGCCTGGATCCACGCCGAAGAAAACGTCTAAATGTCACATTTTTAACTTGGTTTATCTAAACGTCTAAATGTCACATTTTCAATGAAGCAGCCTAAATTATATGGTATTTGGGTTAAACAGTGCCCCTGCTGTTGGGGCGAAAGGCACAATAATTAACATGATAATAAATAACTGGCTGAATTTTCCATTTGTATACATGACAGATGGTAAATATCATATTAAGTTGAGTGTCCACCTTAGAGATAATCACAATATTTATATTGAAACAATCATATTTAAAAATATAATATTCATCATATCATATGATAAATATTTATTGTTAATACTGTAAAGCTAAATTATGTGGGATCTCATTCAATGCTTTCAGAAACTTCACTTATTTAAATACTTTTGTTTCTGTAAAAGTTGAAATATTTTACAGTATATTTATTAAAAAAAATATCACAAAAGAGAGAATAATAGTGTGAACAGTGATTGTTTTGAACAATTATTAACTTAGACATTTTTAAAAACACTTTAAGCTAAAGTATTTGTAGTGTATTTTGCTCCATCCTGATTAGCCTTTTACCCTGTGTGTGGGCTAAAAGGCCCACCTTGCCACCTCATACATTTATAAGATGTTTTTAAACAAAACACTTACTCAGCTACTGGTCCAGGAGCCAAAGACCCCATAAATGCACACGGGGCCCCAAGTAGAGACAAAACAGTGCACGTGTTTGATGCGTTTCCTCCTCTCTGCCATCTCTGAGACAAACACCTACAAACCAGTTGCGTTATTTTATTATACCTGTGATGCAACATTGACTGCAGGGTATAGCAAAATACTCCATGTATAGACTGGTTATGCTTTTGGAATGCTAACGAAAAGGTGCATCAATAGTAATTGTAGAATGTTTTCAGAATTTCCCACCTGGTATCAGTATCTTCTTCCGGGTATTTATCCACAACATTTATGATATCCAGACACACCAAACCAATGCTGAGTATCTTTTTGTCCCCCATATTCTCCCTGCAGAACGAAATCCTGAACTATGGACTTTGGAGGAAAGGTCATAACGTCACATTATTCCGAACAGAAGCGGTGAGCGTTTCTCTTTCAACGTGAATGGGACACACTGTAAACATTGGCCACGAAGTCTACCGGTGTTTGCCGAGTGTGGCCGAAAGTGCCAGCGCGAGCGGAGCGCAAGGACACGACGATTGCCGACTTTTATCGAGAGCAGCCGAAACTTGCGCGAGCGCTTTCCGTTATGTTTTGGTGTGAGCTCTGAAATACTTTTTGCTGTTTAAAAACACAGAAATAGATATTCTTTTGTTAGTCATAATTTTAATCTTTATACACATACAGATATAACTGCATTTTAGTAAGAAGGTATTCCTTAAGTAGCTAAGATAAAAATGCCCATAAAATCTCAGGTGGTCGTTCCCCCAGAGTGGTTGCTAGGTGACAAGAGGGCTTCGGTTATCACAATACTAGTAGCTAACGTTACATGTTGACTTTCTTCCAGTTATATTTCAAGGCAGCTATTTGTGTAATGTATGAATATTTATTTTCATGTGGTCGTGAAACGAATATTTGAGAGACTTTAAAAAAAAAAATTCGACCTATTATCCATACTGTGCGTTTGGAATAGCTATAAACTTATATGCGAAATTTGTAACTTACTCCAAAATAGGCAAAGTTACCTCTATTTTTTACGCTCTCTTTTCTATTTTGCTAGTAGCCAATACAATTAGGAAGGCTATTAATAAACATAGGCTATATAACGTTAGTATATGGCTAAATTCAAAAATATGAATATGCTATTTGATTGACAGTTTCATTACAATTCTTAATATTTGTATGTAACTTTACACATGATCTTTCAATTGGCTTATTGAATGTTTTTAATGTCATTTATAGTTTTAAGACCAGGAAAACAGAGTTGAGAGAATGGAGATGTGGAGTGTGGCAAAAGGCAACTTGGAGGTCCTCCAGATCTATAAACTCCTGCAATATGTACGGGAGAAGAACAGACCACAGATAAAAAAGATGCTCAAAATGGGGGTTCCCAACCTGATAAATATAACTGAACCCAAACAGGGACTCAGTGCCTTGTATCAGGCATCTGTGGACCACGATGAAGACCTTGTACAGTTCCTTCTGTCCCTGAAAGCCAACCCTGACATACAGGACATGAAGGGCTACACACCAATGATGCTGGCTGCACAGTTGGGCTACTACAAGATTGTGTATCTCTTGATCAAACACAATGCAAATGTGACACTCACAGATGAAGAGGGGAAAGGTAAAGAACATCTTTTAGGCCTTGATGAGTTTGTCTTTATGCACCTGTTGAAGTGTCAAAATGCTACCTTGAAAAAAGACGTGCACTTATTTGAATTAACTGTGCACTTGCTTCAAATCTTAAAAGTATTTACTTTATAATACATATAATATTATTATACATATAATATATTATTATTACATGTAATATTAAATTATTACATATTATTATGTAATATATATATTATTACATATAATATAAAATTATAATACACATATATATATTTTTCTTACACAAATGCATCGCTTCGCTTTAGAAGGCCTTTATTAACCCCCCAGAGCCGTGTGGACTGTTATCATTGATGGATGCACTTTTATGGACTTCTTTTAGAGAGTACACTTTCCCCCTGTTTCACAGACTAAGATGCATGTTTAATCTGTTTTAACTGAAAGTCATTTACACTGATATATCTTAAAATATGTCAGTGCCATTTGTTTTGTTTTTTTCCTAAGGCACGTTTAAAAGCTATTTAATTGAATAAGGCCTTAAACCAGGCCGAAAGGTATTTGAATATAATTATAACTGTATTGTGTTGATTGATATTACAATCAAAGGTAAAATATTTTAAATGTATTAAACAAATTCAAAATTACAAAAGTGTAATTGCAAATAGATTCAAATGACTATACAAGTTTCAATATAAATTACATTAAAGTCAATTTTTCACAATAGAAGTAATGGTTAAGCACTCTTAAGTTCAACAAATTATGTTTTGGAATTATTAAAGCCTGCATTTAATAAAAAAAAGTGTGTACTATAGTGTACTATACTATATTTTTATAATAAATTTACTATTTTATAATGAGTACTCTTTTTAAAGTGTATTTTTTTCTCAAGGGATATTATAACCCAGGCATTAAAATTATTGTATAGATGCAAAATATGTTGTTTTTTTATATTATAGCTTTAATAAAATAGAATATTTTAATTAATTTCCTTGGTTTTAAATCTGTTCATTCATGCTTGATGGGGAAATGTGTCTATATATGCAAAACTCCAGTGACTTGTGTTGTTTGATTTGTAGGGGTGCTGTTCTACTGTATCGCTCCATCTGAAGAACATGCTCTCTGCCTGCAGATGGTGCTCAGCAGCAATGCAAATGTCAACAGTGTTTCTAACTCAGGGAAGCCACTGCTCGTGTTCGCTTGTGAAAATGCAAAGGACTGTCAAGACTTGTGCATTCACATTTTGGAAAAAGGAGCTGATCCAAATGCAGTAGATCAGGTCTCAAATGATAGTTCAAATTGATGTTCCCTGAAGATTCAAAGATCTCTTTACAAAGCTATATTACAACATATATAGCCTATACACTGTAAAAAAAAAAAAAAAAAAAAATCTTTTCATGATTAGTAATCACAACGTTTTTTTCTTTTGTTAAATCAACTTAAATAACATATTTAGTTCATATAACATATAATTTTGAGTTTCTGATGATTAAATCGTTCTCCTTCATTGTATTAACTCAAATGAAATATTGTAACGCAACCAGGTTAGCCTACTTACTTTTTTAAGTTAAACCAATATTTTTTTTTTACAGTGTATAGTTAAATTAAACTTTTTTTTTTGGAATGGAACAGTTTATTGAACCTTTAGTCAAAATAATTGATCTACATTTATGGCTCATATGATATGAGAGAATATGGAGCTCATCTATTTTATTCAGAGGCCCAAACTGAAGAAAAACATGTAATTTGGGAGTAGTTGCAAATATTAACAGTCAAACCAAAAATTATTCAGACACCAGATATAATTTTTTATATTTTTTACTAGTGGGTGCAGGACACTATACTCAATTTATGTAAGTGAGGATACATAAAGTAAACTGTGACACATTATCTATGAAGATGTATAAGACCAAATGAATGGTCATGTATGAAGACCACAAAGCCTTCATGCAGTGGACTACCAGTAAAATTTATAAAAATTTGGTACCAAAATTATTCAGAAACGTTGAGCTGACCATGCTTTGCTTAGGCTAAGTGTTTTTTTTTTTTCTTTAATGACTAATGTGGCCTTTTTACAGCCAAGACTGATCAAAATTAAGCCTTGCTTGGTAATTGGTTGATCTCAATTGGTATTATCTAATTGTGTACTTAAATTTAACAGCTGACAGATATTCCTAATTCATTTGTGAGACAGTCTAACAGAAGGATGGCCAAAACCAAATGTCAACTAATTTGATAATTCTGAGTTTGTGTCATATTTTATTACAATTTTCTAAACTTAAGCGAATAAACTGTGATAATGTGAGAAATATTGAGAAATGTGTCTGAATAAATTTTGGTTTGACTGTATAAGGCCAAAAAGTAGTATGACATTCTGAAGCTTGTAATGTAAAATCAGTACAGCAGACTGCTTACATAAAATGCATATTGGTTGTCGCTTAATATCTCCCAATAGTATGTCATAGTAAGATTATGTTTAAATGCCTGTATATATGATTAAAGCTCTGTATTATTTACTGTGGGGGTTAAAATATATAATGCAATGCATGATGCATTATTATATAATGTTAGATGATTGAGAGCCTGTTTGATACACACATTTTAACATGATTTTGAAATTTCAAACATTATAAAAGTCATTTGTATCTTTACTTTATGAAATCAGTAAAGATTTCACAGCAAGAAGGCGTGTGATCTAAAGAGGGACATTTACTTGCTAAAAAAGTATAAACTATCAATCATCAGATGGTATTTCGTAGATTGTGTACAACAGGATTTTGAGCAAAGTTTTGATCATGTGAACAATCTAGAGGCCTTCGAAATGTGTATATCAAATATGATACAGTCAGCTTATGATAGGTCAGCAAGAAAATGTGGTTCCCTTTCAAGGGAACTTGAACGCTGTGGTAACGCCCCTGCGTTGTGAGTCATGAAGCACATATGGAATCATTCCAATGGAGAGACGGAACGTCATAGGTGGGTGATGTCAATGACCAGGAAACTATAAAGCACCCCTAAAACCCAAGCGCATCAGCTTTTGTGCCTTCAGTAAGCGCTATATGTGAATCTGTGTAAACACTGTGTCTGTTTTTAGTATTTTCACATTTTACACCTCGCAAATGGATCTTTCAGAGGGATTAGAGACGGGCTTTGCCTTATCTGTGCCTTTACCTGTTAGATCCAGTGTCTCAGCCCCGGGTTCGGAAGCACGCTCTGCGTTTTCTACGTGGCACTTTGAGGCTGAGGCTGGACCAGTGGATCTGGCCATTGTATTAGAAGGTCTTTCCCTAGCTCCTTTTGAACCTATCGAAGAAGTTCCTGAGAAGTTTCTCACTCTGAAGTCTGTATTCCTTCTTGCTATCTCCTCACTCAAGAGAATCGGAGATTTGCAGGCTCTGTCAGTTGCACCCTCTTGCCTGGAATTTTCAGCAAGGTTTTTCTATACCCTAGGGCGGGTTATCTTCTGAAAGTCCATTGGACTGATTCCATACGTGCTTCATGACGCAAAACGCAGGGGCGTTCAGCATTCAACGCAGCGTTAACAGCATTCGACGCTACGTCTCGTTTCCTATAAGGGAACTATACATACGTAACCGAGGCGATTTTGATGGAGTTGAATCAGTATAATGTGTCATGTTTTGGCTCCCCAAAGGTGACACGGTGCTCTGCCCTTATGGGGGCATCTAAAGCTGGTGCTGTGAAGCTCGTCAGAGCCATTTTACAAAAAGGAGTGAATCCTAACTTGCTTGATGGAGATGGACGGTCCGCTGCCCACTTTGCTGCAGAACAAGGTTTCCTTGAGGTGATGCCATGGCATTCTGAATAGCACAAAATTTGCCATTTTTTAACTTTGAAGAAAATTACTATCTCTGCTCTATACAGGTTTTGCAGGTGCTGTCTGCATACTCTGCTGACTTGGGTATCAGCACGGCAAAGGGTGACACACCATTGCACTTTGCTGCTGCTGGCGGCTTCAATGAGTGCTGTAGATTCCTCGCTCAAAGAGGTAGGCTGGATCTAATGTCTTTCCATCATTCACAAGAACAAGTACTACCTTCATTAAATGGGTCATGAAATTTAACTCCCCAGTATAAAATATGAAGATTTGTTTTCCAAACTTCTGAGATGCCAGGATTTATAATCGCATGTCAAAAGAAAAACTATTAGAAATTGAATTTGTGTTTTTTTTTTTAAACTGCTTTATTAAAATACTAAGAATAATTTGCTGCCTTATTCATAGCAGTACTCTTTCTTGTCTGCAACAGGATGCAGTCCCAAACAGAAGAATCTGGAAGGCCTTCTTCCAAGCCAGGTTGCCAAAAACAATGGCTGCAAAGCTGCACTCAAGGAGCTCAAGAAAGCAGAGAAAATATATGTGAAGCTTTCTAAGCCTGATGCCGTGAACCCCAATGAACCCTGGGCCGTCACCCTTCACGACTGGTCCCGTGAACACGAGGCAACCTTGCGCAAAGCCTTTGAAACTGCTGAGGGACTGGATAAACCTGTTGAAAAAGTTCCTCTGGAGACATTTGTGTCTTTACTGCATGAGCATCAAGCTCCTGTAAGTAATGAGCATCTTCAAAGGATCATCAAGGAACATGACAAAAACCATGAAAGTGTCATCAATTTAAATGAGTTTTTTAAAGGCCTCAGGTACCTCCAGAAGGCCTTTGTCATCTCATCCTACGCTCCTAAGCCAGGTAAGAAGGAAAAGGGAAAAGGAAAGGAAAAGAAAAGTGCCAAATCTGCCATTCCATTGCCCATATGCACAATGCCACCTGAGCTGATTTCCAGAAGAGAGGACAGTGGGCTACCTTACTACATAATCGAGAACTACCAGCCGTTCACTGACACCAAACATTTCAACCGAGACCGGCCGCCAGTTCACCCCATTGAGAAAGACTCTGCTTGGTATATTGATGATCCTGAAAAGATCTATACCAACATCAATTACTGTGTGAGGGCTGGAGATATAGATTCTCTTAGTCTGGCGTTTACCCAACAAGTGCCTGTTGATATCAAAGATCAGTTCTTTAAGACGCCACTCATGACAGCATGCAGCTGTGGCAACTACCAAGTAGCTAAATTCCTCATTTCACAAAGGTAATACTACTAAGAAAAATAAAGAACTTTCGGTAACACTTTACAATACGGGTGCACTAATAAACATTAATTCCTGCTTAACTAATGCACAGATAATACTGAATTAATGTGTAACTAATGATTATTTAAGCTATTTATTAATGATTACCACATTAGGAACTAATTAAGAGTCTGTAAGGTTAATGTATTAGTTCATACATTAATTGTTATTAATTAAATATGTAATTGTGGATTAATTCCATAATAACTCATTTTTTAACTAATAGTCTTAATTAATATGTTAATTATCAGAATGAGCCAAAGCCTTGTATTCCAACTTTCAGATAATATGACAGGTACACTAATATGCATTAATACATGATTAATTACTTCATTGTTAGTGAAAATTCATGTGCAAATTACTACAATTACTAAATGACTAGTTAATAATGATGTGCCCCAACAAGTAAAGTCATAACATAATGATACCTTTGCAAATCATTAGCTAATGATTGATTAAAGCAGACAACTGGAAGTTGAAATGCATAGCTTTGACTAATTGAGGTAATTAACACATTAATTTACACTATTAGTTGATAAGGAATTAATACACAATGACACATTGAATTAATAGCAATTCATGTATTACTTAATCTATTAATCATTATGAGTTATACATTAATTCATGATTATCAGTGCATTAGTTATAAGCATGAATTAATGCATATTAGTGCACCCATATTGTAAAGTGTTACTGAACTTTCTTCTCTTTTTTTACACATTCAATGTAACTAGATGATAGACCGTGTTGTTTGAAGAACATTTTGTTTTTGTGACTCTATAGGGCTGATGTCAATGCTGTTGACCAATTTAACTGGACGCCCCTTCATCATGCTTGCTATGCAGGTCATGTAGACATTATCAAGATGCTGGTGCAATCTAGAGCTGTGGTGGATGCAGTGTCAATGAATGGAGCAACTCCACTCATGAGAGCTATTGAAAGCTGTCGGTTCAGCTGTGTAGAGTGTCTCATCGAAGCTGGAGCCAACGTCATGGCAGAAAACAAGAGAGGTGCTGGTTTTTGGCACTATACACTATAGTTTAGTAAAATGTTTAGGGCCGTAATAGTTTTTTTTTAAAGAAATCATTGTGTAATGCTACCTGCTGTTACTGTTTAGGTCATTGTTTTATGAGTGACAAAGTGTGTTTAGGTCATTGTTTTATGAGTGACAAAGTGTGAAAAAGTGTGTTTTAAGTGATCTATAAGTATTGAGAAATGTTTCCTTAAAAAAAAATAATAATAAAAATAAAAACTCAATTACAATTTTAAATAACTGTTTTCTATTTTAATAGATTTTTAATTGTTATTTATTCCTGGTGAATTCAGTCTTCAGTGTCATATGAAAATAGTTGTGCTGCTTAATATTTTTGTTGAAACCATTATATATATTTTTTTTTTCAGAATAAGTGATGAAGAAATAAATGAATATTTCATTAATTTGTAATAGAAATATATTGTAACATTATAAATGTCATTTGATTAATTTAATGAATCCTTGCTGAATAAAACATATTATTTTCTTTTTAAAATGAATTCTTACCCCAAACATTTGAACAGTATTGTATGCATATATACTTTTTGTATCATTTTCCCACTTATTTAAACAACAATGCATTTATGTTTTGCCCACAGGGCAAAATTGCTTGGACATTGCTATAGAGTATGGTGATCCTACAATCATTGCATTGGTCACTGCCAAATCCAGCATTCTTCTAAATGAAACGAAATCAGAACCAACTTTGACACAAGATTCTTCGGGACAAGTTGTCTTTGTCTTCTCTAGATTCAATCATCATCAGTTTCAGCAGCTGTGAAATTAGAGCTGAGGTTTTGTAAGTGTGTTTTTAATTTCTGATGTTTTCTGCATTATAGGACACTGATGAGGAGAAGGGAACGCTTTGATGAAAAGATGACTTTCAAGTACTTCATACACTTTAACAAGAGTATCTCAGACTGGAATGGGATGGGGTGTCTGGGAAGGGAATACATTAAATGTCTCAGCGCAATAGCTGACTTTCATTCATAGCTACTGTCTGTCTTTTTATTTCTGACAAATTAGTATTTCCCAGACTTGTTTGATTTTAGTCAATTGAGCAAAAATGAAAGATAGGCAAAGAAAGACCACAGAAAGAAAGACCTCCCCTTTTTTGACATTGGATAAAAATAACCTATCTTAGTCAGTCATTGAGATGCACAGTGGTCACCTTAGTGTGCTGCCATTTGGAATAATGCTATACAAGCCCCTGACCGAGAGCACCACCTGCTCTATAAGCCATTTTCCTTTTCACTTCTCCTGTGACTGGCTTTAATCACCAACCCCCACTGAACACAGGAAAAGGAGATGACAGTCAAATATTTTAAGGTACCATTGGTGATTGCGTAATTTTAATTGAAACATGCATGTACACATGCATGTTTTAAGCCATTAAATTGGCCTGTAGGGGGCGGTAAGACACAATAATATAATTTACAGTTTTTCACAATTGCTATGAGACACTATTATAGTATTACTATAACCCCTAAACCCATCTGTTGAATAAATCACTCACTAAAACAAGTTGCACTTTGATTCACACAAGTGGCAAAAGTTTAACACAGCTACAACAGAGTTGTCATCTTTTACAAGCAACGGCTCAAAATTGTTCACACTTGTTCCTAATTATGTGACCAAACCCAGCTCAGAGTGAACAAGTGCATTGAATGTTAATACGAACGAATAATGAATAGAAATGATCTGAGAGAGAGGGGAGGAAGTATATAGGAGGTGGTGGAGGAGGAGGAGGAGGAAGAGCAAGGTGTGGAGTGTTGTCAAAACTGGATCCAGCACACCAAGAGACAAGAGACAACATTGCCTGTGCTGTGGTTTGGACAAAGATTATTGCATTTGCACTCTTTTCAGTGTACTGTGACTTTTTATTTAGAGTTTGTTTTTGTTTTTGTTTTAGTTTTTTTTTTTTTTTTTTTTTTGGGGGGGGGGGGGGGCTTATACTATTTTTACAGTATTCATTTGCTAAATAAACACATTCCTTACTATAATTTGCAATACAATACTATACTAACAGGATATATAGTACACAATATGTTCACCTTAGTTGCAATCACTATACACTCTTAGAAAAAAAAGGGTTCTACTGTAAGCATGGGATTCTTTACTCAACTCCAAATAACCTTTTATAACAAGAAAGAACCCTTTTGGCACAAAGGTTCTTTATAGGCTATTATTCATTCATATATTACATTATTCTGCAAAATTTTGTAGTTTTAATTAAATTATTGTTTATTAAATTGTTGTTGTAACTTAATATCACATTTTAATCATGCTGATTTTTGGAGGAGGAAAACTGAAATGGCACTCTTTGTGTGATATTGATTAACTACATATTAAAATGATGTAGATACATTTTCTAACCCCCATATCTTGAATTTTGTGATCATTCACATGCATTCATAAAATACATTTTAGGGTCTTGATGTTTGTCAATAATATGAAATATTTAATCTGGAAAGGACAAAACAAAGGATAATGAATGAACCCAACATGTTCCATATAGAACCTTTTTCCCTAAAGGGTTCTTATTATTGAACCCTTAAAAGGGGTTCTGCATAGAACCTTTTAGGGGTTCCAAATATGTAGTGCTGATAGAACCTTTTAAGTTTCTAGAACCTTTACTTCTAAGAGTGTGTTTTTTTTTATGAAATTGTTGTTTAATTGTTTTGTTTACTGTGTAAAATATACATTTTTTCTGTAACGTTACTCTGGATGTTGTGTTCCTATGGGTTTGATCCAATTGTTTGATTTTGCCAGAAGAGTCAGGGGTTTTAGTTGTAGTGGAACATTTGGTTTTGTGTTTAATGTTGTGAGAAAATTGTCTTTTTAACTGGGCACACATCATGCTTCGTTCGTTGTTAAACGACTGGAAGAATCCAATAGCTGGCTGGTGATGTGTGTTTTTTTCCCCTTTTGGTCGGTGGGACTTTAGCATGTATAAATTGGAGATGGTCCATATATATATATATATATATATATATATATACAGTATATATATGTATTGTGAAAGCACTATACAAATACATTTGAATTGAATTGAAATACATTTTCCTGTGTGACGTCACAGGTCGCCCAATATCAAAATGAGATGTTTTTTGGAGCTTTCATCGGGAGATTTGGAGATCTCATTTTGATAATTCTTTGTTTACAATGAGGAGGATGTTTAAATTTAAGCAATGCATGTTTTAATGGTTCAAAGACCTCTCATATGTTAAAAGATCAGGGCATGTTATTTCATGTCATGACACCTTTAAAACACACGACAACTTGATAGCAAGTTGCCCATAAGCTTTGCGTGGAAAATGTAGTTGTAAATGTTGTTCATCTCAATTGTAAGATGAAACCTCAGAAATTCAGAACACCTGCACATTGTTATTCCCAGGCTCTGACTCGGCACATTCATGTGAAGGAGACGCTGCCGAGTCAGCTGGAACTCTGTCATTCCGTACTGTGCAACCGGATGTGATGGTGGTTCAAGTGTCTGTTGCAGAAAGGACTAGACATTGAGACATTGTGCTACAGACAGACCTGTCCGGATGAACAGGTTGATTTCCATATGAAAGACTCAATCATACACCGGGACTGCTTAATAAAAGCAACGCCTTAAAAGGATGAGGAACTGATAATCGGCTCCAGTACATGAGGTAATTGTCTTGATGATGTGGCACTCACAGACACACTGACCTCAGCTCTTAATCTTTATCTCCAAGGGAGAGAAAAAGGGAAGAGAACATGGATTGGGGAATGAGGAGGGATGAATATGTAGAGAAACAGATGAAGGTCAATCAAGAAAAGAAGGTGAAACAACTAACATTAAGTCCAAATGTTACTCTATGACATTTTTTGTTTCATAATTCTGGTAAAGAAACAACTATTACGCAAAAAATGAGCAGCATAAAACACTGTATCCCACAAGCCTGACTCATTTTTTGAACATTATTTACCCCCCCAAAAAATGCATTAAAATGCTAAACCAGATTTTTTGTTTCCAAGACCCCAAAAAATTTCCAAATTGCCAAAAAAATGCTGGTGGATGAGGTCATGTAACAACAGTGCATTTATCGGTTGCATTTTATTTCAATGGTCCACTTTAGACATTCTAATAACTATACAGTAAGTAACTTTGCAAATACATGTCAACTAAATGCTCACTGATTTGCAACTTCAACTATGGTACTAGTCATTAGAGTATTAGACTGTTAGGTTAGGATTCAGGTTAAAGTTAAAGTTACTAGGGAGCATCAAAATAAAGTGTTAGCAGAAGTTAAACAGACTGCTAATACTCTAATGACTGATAGGCATGCAGTACAGTATAGAATGTCTAAACTGGACTCAAAATAAATTGTTACCCTTTAATCGTGGAATAATGCATATTGTATCAATTAACAGTAGTAAAACATATCAATTGGAGGCCATATAGTAGACGCCAATAAATAAATAAAAAGTTAATTGCACTTTAATTCTCACAGTTCGACTTCATAACTCACAGTATGACTCTCCATCTCACTTTTTGACTTTTTTGTGTTTACTATTATTTCACAACTTACCTTCTTTTATTGATCTGTAGTATTCTGTTCTGTGTGTGTAATATAGCAGAGCCTCTTGTACCTTTTTGATTAGTCATATTATGGTCTAAAATACAAAATTTGAAGAGACCATAATTAATGCTCAAGCAATCAATTACAATTGTTACCTCAATCCGCATATTAAAGTGATTTGATCCTATTTGACATCTTCAGATACTTCATAGTGAGTTTAAAGCTGTGATGTTCCTGCAGCAGTATTTTGCTGGATGTCATATCCATTCGAATTATTAAGATGCACACATGATATTTAGGGTGGTGGCTTTCTGTAAACGAGCCTCTTTTTTTTTTATTTCACATGGATTTTCTTCTATATAATTATCTACATCTGCAGCCGTGTGATTAAGCCTTCACAAAGTAGGGATATTGTTTCCACAGCTTATTCACAGTTCAGCATGCAATCATCGTTAGTAGGCAAATGATGAGGTTAATGACAGATTTCCCACCTTTTTTCTTTTCTTTTTTTTTTTTTTTTTTTACCATGAGCCGCATAAGGGCTCTGTTTGACGTATTGTGGGGGTTGGTTCTGGCAGTGCTAATTGACAAGAAAGACTGAAGGGAATCTGGCTCAGATAAATGAGCTTTAATTGGTAACAGTGGGTCCTGTGAATGTGCGCTTGTGTCGAAGAATTCAGGATTAATCAGCACTCGCCCTGCTGGTGCGAACAGAAAGAGCTGCAATGATATGTAAAACTAAATTCACAACCTAAGCTGAATTTCAATATGCCAAACTTCATGACATGGATGACAGCGGCGTCTTCAGACAGTATAAACAAGACTTGGATGCTAAAGACAGCTGTAATAGTCTTAAGTGTAAATCAATACATTTAGCAGCGTCTCCTGTTTGTTGGTTGTTGCACTAACAAGCATCACTGTCTCATTTGAGTCAATATTGGCTTCCTCCGGCAGTTGTTTTCTCTGTAACACTTTCTATGAAGACCATGCTTAAATTATAGATTCGTTTCTTATACATTTATACGTAAGTATCACTATTTTATAAATAGGCTATATTTATAAAAACACATTAACTGCATTATAAGAACAGTTGTTGTTACATTTATAACATTTTTATAATTTCTTGTCATGCATTTGCTTTTTGAATGAACATTCTCATACACTGATTTATAAGTATTAATTATAGTCATTTTATGAAAAAAGGTTGAACAAATTGCAACTCAGAACATATTGAGGATGCAAAATCAGTTGAGTTTGCTTCTGTTGCAATTTGTTCAAAGTTGACCCCCATTTTGGCTTAAAATGACTGGACTATACCAGTCATATGGTTCCATGAATGTATATAATGATGCAACTTGCATTGCGATAATGCTGTTACAATGAA